TTTTTTTTAAAAAAAATGTTATTGTTAATTCTAATCGGGTTTGTTTGGGATATCCTATTTAATTTTTTTAAACTTTTGTATTATGTGTTTCTTTTAATGTTGTACGCCGCCCTGAGTCCTTGGGAGAAGGGCGGCATATAAATCTAATAAATCTTAAACCTTAAACCCCCCCCCCCCCCGCCCCAAATTTCTTCCTCCTTGGAAAAATTCTGAAGCACTAGCAAAATGCTTTCGGAAGTAAGATGAGGTGACTCTATAAGATTTGTGAGTGCCAATTCTTCCATCATTCCAGTTTGTAAGCACTGACAATAAATGAAAACCCTGGATCATTTGTGCTGGGAAATATCATGCGTTCCATACCTTACGAGGCACACTTTGAAATACAGGAGTTAATTTTAAGAATGCACATGGGACTTGTGCACATGACTCTTACATTTTAACCAGTGCCAGAATTGATAACAACATGCACAAGAAAAGCAATGAATGTTTCAGTAGTTTTGATGTTCCAAATTGTTCTTAACTTGGCTCATAATAAAACCTCATTTTCCAGATTGATTGATATGGCATGTAGAGACTGGGATTGGTCATTTCATGATGTTGATTTTGATGTTGATTTTAATATTGATGATGCTGAGGACGAACTTGATGATAGCGATGATGATAGCAATGTGTTTATTCTGAAGAGGTAAATGGATGAATATCTGCAGGAGAATGCATTGGTTTTATTACAGCATGCGTTTTCAATTTTTCCCAGTAGAGCTATATGTGCTGGCTTAAAATCTAATCATCACCATCATCATAATAATTTGATCCATGCATGGTTTTTATTGCCTTGAAATTGTGTCAAAATCCCTTATATTTGCGCTGGGAAATTATCATGTCAAAATCCCTTCTACACGTGCTTATAGTGGACTTTCCATGTATGGCTGCCTTTGTGCAAATCCAATTTTGAACATTCATATCTATCGTTTGTTATGTCACATGTTGCTGCAAACTCATATGTAGGTGACAAGGTAAAAACTTGATTTTCCGTGTTTTGGTGTACCTTCGTCATACTAAAGTGTGGTATAACTTGCTTTGCAAATATATTATACTAGATAATCAGCATAGGAATGATAGAAATTCTTGTCTCCATACCCCAACCAATTATTTAAAGTTAGGCTGGATTTCCAAATCACCTTCGAGGGGAATATAATCTTTCCTTTGATTCGTTTTTGATTGGGAGAAAGATAGCCAGCTATATCAGTGTTTTTCAACCTTTTTTGTGCAAAGGCACACTTTTTTCATGAAAAAAATCACGAGGCACACCACCATTAGAAAATGTTAAAAAAATTTAACTCTGTGCCTATATTGACTATATATAAAGTAATTCTCTTGGATCCTCCGCGATTGTTGCTATGG